CCCCAAAACCCCAAAACCCCAAAACCCCAGCTAAGAGAGACTGGTTGAAAGCTTGATAAAGACTAGCCTCTTTTTATTATAAATAATTGATAGTAGAGTTACCATACTGAGACTTTCAAGAAACCGTAAATATTCCATAAAGAGACCAGGAATGTAGGAATCATTTCGGTTTTATGCAAAAATTTGGACATTATTGAACCCATTCTCTTCAAGAATCTCTCTGATTATTTCTTCTTCAATACAACAATTTCTAGCTTTAAATTCCTGAAGACTTTTCTTTAAATCTGGAGAAGTAGCTAGTCCTTGGATGAGATTTTGGAACTCTTCAAAACCTTCCTCCCAGTTAGTAAAGGTGCTATTGCCTGATCAATCAAAATCCAGCATCTTTATCTTTGTATTTTTCAATGTTTGAGAAAAGTTGAAGACTGAAGGGATTGAGATATTACATCTCCAGAAAAATATTTTCCTGAGATGCTTACATCAAGCCATGATTCTCTTGAACTGGTAAGCACTTATTATAAAGCCATCGATGACTATCTTCTCCAAAACTTTTGAGCTGACCTCAAGAATTAAATTCGAAATAGGAAAAATATACAAATAGGGATCTTGGCTGCAATTGATTCTTAATTCAGCGACTCTTTGAGGAAATGATGATTTTATAAATTTCAGAGTATGTTTATTCACCTCTGCGGATTGAAATAAGGTTACATAGTTAACTTTATAAGGTCTCATAAAGTTAGTCTTCTTCTCAAAATATTGATTTCTTTCTTGTCTAAAGATTAAGTAATTGATTGAAATGATTGTCTTCTTCGGAATCCTCAGCTTCCAATTCACTAGAAAAATAATGCAAGTAATAAGCATTTCTCAACATTTTGTCTAGTTCATTACTTTGGGTTGAAGTCAGCTTCTCTCACCTAAAAAGTCAGATTTATATGACAAATTGCTTTATAAACTCTAAGGTGTATCATCTCTCATCATAATTTCAGGGTCGTTGCTTGTTCCAAGTTACAGTAGAGAAACTTTAAAGTTATCTCCATTGAAGTTAAAATGTGGGAAAATAATAGAGGATCAGACTTAATCTCAGCTCAGCTAGGTTCCTTTCTTTTTATAAGATACTCATCAAGTTCAAGAAATTACCAAGAACGATAGATGTAGAGCCCAGCAGGGCTCTGATTTCATAAAACAGATTTAATAATATCAAATTATTTCCGAACTGCTCGAAATTTATGCCGAACTGAATGGAGGACACATAGAGAATTGAAAACATTTTATCCCATGTTGAAAAGATTTGGCTTTAACGTGAGTACAGAATGAAAGGATTTCTTCCTCAGAACTTATGTTCTAACATTTAATATCTTTGAAGAAGAGTCTCATAAAGAATGGTCTTATTAAAATTCCTAAGTCTGGAATAATGCTTACTCTAACTTTTTGTCTTTGCTAACAGTTTCCAGCTGGACTGTATCTTCCATTTATTCTTATAATTTTATTATATTTCCACTATTTCTTCAGATGTGGGGTTTTGGGGTTTTGGGGTTTTGGGGTTTTGGGG